CAGATTTAGCAAATAAATATGCAAGATACTCAGCTATATTTGCATTTCAGATAAACAAAAAATACATTTTGAGTATAAGGAGGTCTCATGCAAGACTTCCAACATACTTATAGTAAGAAATTACTCACTAGGCAGCCTGTATTTTATCTGCTAGCCTGGCCCTCTACCACATCTGTGTTTGTCTCTCCCTGCCCCTATCCTGCTTCCTTTCCTCTCTCCCTTGCAGATTTTTCCTGACGAGCACTCCACCAGAGAATGACATGTATCTAAATCCCTGCTTCAGGCTCTGCTTCTATGGAACCTGGCCTAAGACTGTCATTTATCCCTCACTGGTGCCTAAGGTGGCCAGAGAAGTCCTCTCATTTCCCATGAGTGTTGCAGAATCTTTCTTTTTGGTCAGACTTCACTTGTTCCACCTTGGCTAGAGTGGGGGAAATCATGACACCAATTGTCAGCAGCTGAGGCCCCCCCGGTCCCCACAACAGCCCTGAGTGATGGCTACAATTCTTATGACCATTTTTAGTTGAGAAAACTCAGGCAAGAGAGATACAACAGCTTACTTGGCTGCACAGAAAGTGGCAGAGCTGAAATACAGAACCATATTTCCCTGCCTCTAAGATTCCTGCTTCATCAGTGCCTCCCAGGGAATCCAGGAGAGACACAAGGGCAAGGCTTTAGCTTTGCTGATCTATCCCCTCCTGACCCCTGCAGCATTCGGACTTCAAGCTTTGACCTTGTCTCTTGGCACTGGATGGATAGGGCAATTCTAGGTAAGCTCTCTGGGTGACCCTAGCCACTAACTTTACGTTTGTGCAGAACTGGCTTCCCAGAAACCACAGGAAGATGGGGGTGTCCAGAAATCCATGTGGCCACAGCCCCCTTTAGGAAGACTCTATTTTCATTCATCTATGACAGAGCTATGTTCATGTCTTAGGGTCTGAGCCTCAATTTAACATTGTAGAACATGAGAACTAGATGAAATGGACCTCCGGGGGGGCCATCGAGCTATCGCCCAATATGATTTGAAGTTTCCATAGACCTGACATTCATGTTTAGTTAAATACTTAACCTGGTCCTGGTACAAGGTAGTGCTCACCTAACAGTGGCTGTAAGTAGTAGTATTTATCCTAAGCAATAGTAATAAGAACATCCGATGAATGAACCTGAAAACCATCATTCTCAGCAAACTGACACAACACCAGAAAATCAAACACCGCATGTTCTCACTCATAGGCGGGTGATGAACAATGAGAACACTTGGACACAAAAGGGGAGCATCACACACTAGGGTCCATTGTGGGGAGCTATGGGGATAGTGGGAGGGAGTGTGGGGGAGAGAGAACGTGGGGAGAAATGTCAGGTATAGGTGATGGGGGGATGGTGGCAACAAACCACCTTGCCATGAATGTACCTATGCAACAATCTTGCATGATCTGCACATGTACCCCAGAATCTAAAGTACATTAAAAAAAAAGAACATCCGATTCCCCAGATAGCATGAGACTGATATGAATATGTCCTATAGCATACTCAACGGGCTTCAGCTTAAAGCCATCCAAAGATGCAGTGAGTTGCCTCAGAAGCCAGTGAGCTTTCTGTCATTCACAGGGAAGAAGGGGAGGAAATTTGTTTATCTACCTACCAGTGGGAGATAATTTCCATCCGTTATCTCTTTTAATCAAATGCTGAGATGTTCCAGAAAAGGCTGGATACAGCTTGTGATGGCGTGCCAGCTTCTGAGGGGCTGAACTAGAATGATGCAGAGGTCCTCCCAGACCTGAGACTCCAGGAGTCTTTGAAAACGCTGACGTCCCACATTTATAAGACCAGTGGCCACTCTGGTGTCCAGAAATCTGGCAAATCATTCTAAAATAATGTCACAGGCTCCAGCCCTGCACTTTTCAGAACTGTCTACACATTTAGATCAATCAGAGACCCAGCTTGTGCCCCTCAGTTGGGGGGTGGGGACACTGACCTATGGGCCCTCAAAATCCTCCTGACCTGCAAGTGCCTTGGCATAGGAGACTGCACCAGACCCTCTTTCTTCTTGCCTGTCACCACACTATGCCTCCCCTCTTCTCAAGCAGCTCAGCTCAGCCACAGAGTCAGACATGATCAGTTGCCAGCCCTACAGCTGCCCAGCTTTCTGCTCCCTCTCCCATCCCACTGTTAAAAGGATACCCCAGAGTCCCTGTTTCACACACACACACACACACACACACGCACACATACACACAAAAAACCCTTATGGAATCTTTGCCCACAATCACAAAATCACAGGGCTGAAAGACACGGCAAGTACCTAGCCCAAAGCTGAGCAGATCCCTGAAGTCCAGGCCTCTCAAGAACTCCCCTACCAGATCCTCCATCCGCACACCTCTACAGTGGAGAGCTCGCTCCCAGCTGGTGTCACCCTTCCTAGCGTTGAACTCCTTGGCCTTTAGAAGGTGCTTCTTGCATCCAGGTGCCAGGCATCCAGGTATCCAGGTGACATCTTCTGGTTTCCTCTCATTGGACCTAGTGTTTTAAGAGATGGCACAAGAGTCTAATCTTGTTGGAAGGTGGTGTGCAAAGAGGTGCAGGAAGACACATGGGAGGAAGTAGAGAGAGATGAAGTCAGAGGTAGTGAGAAACATCAGAGAGAGAATTGGCAGGGATGTGCACAGTCTAAAAGGGACCTGTATCCCGCATGCTGACAATTTTTCCATTACGCTTTAAAAAAAAAACTCTGTTGCTCTTCAGCCAAATGGAAAACAAGTCCATCCCAAATAACTTTCTCTCTGAGAACTGCAGAATAAATGGGAGCATTGTATGACCTATTGTGCTGATGAGAAGAGTGATCAGGAAGGGAGAAGACTCAAAACTGTGTTGCACAGAGAAGAGTTGAAAGAACTGGGTCTCTAGCCAGAAGAAGGGATTTGGCTGGTAAAGTGTTTGCCTCTGACAATCCTTCCTGGGAAAGAAGGATTGGACTGATTCTAAACAGAGTGAAGAATTGGACTTAGCACCAAAGGATAAACCACCAGAGTGACCAAAAGCTTTCTACTAGACAGAGCTGTTTAACAGTTGGTAAGGTAGTGAGAAGTCCCCGTCACTGAAGGTGTCCAAGCAGTGGGGACACTTGATGTTTTATGTCTGACAGTCCATGAGTTTTCTTTTAATGCATGCACATCACCACCCCCACCCCAACACACACACACACACACACACACACACACACACACACACACACACACTGAAGCCTGGCCATATAAAACCAGGTGAGGCACACGAGTGTGGGGCATGCATCTCTCACTTTCCTTAGCTTTGGTCACTCAGAGATTTTCCCATTGCAGACTTGGTTGTCAGCAAGAAATAAAAGCCTTTCCTCTCTCCTTGGGAGGAGCGGAGCAGATTGTCTGGATCTGCTGCATACTGCCCTGGCTCTGGTCTCAGCACCAAACGCGTTCCTTCTGCTCAGTCTGTTCCCGTTTTGACAATGCAGAGGGGAGAGCTGGAGAAAGTCCCGCAGCCTAGAGCCCTGGCAGCAGAGGGCCGGGCTTTGTTGTCGGACAGGACGGATCATATTTGCATTCAAGAAAGACTAGGTGGAGCCCCTTGCTCCCAACACAGACAGAAAGTTTGGCTGGGGCTGGCACCTATCCTCAGGCGTCTATTGAAGAGAAAGTGCTACCTGGTGCCGTCCTTTCAGTGTTTTCTCAAGGGCAGGGCCTGAAAAAGGTTTCTGCAGGAGGAAACTTCTCTAAACCTCTCTAGTATCCTGGAGATTAAAATAAGTTGTTTTTTCTCTGCAAAAGGGATGAAGTGCTCTGCTACCTGTGGGTGGGGTACTAGGCTCTTCACCTGATTTAAGATTCAGAAAATATACTTTTTGACTACAGCATTGTATGTCCCATGAGCAGCCAGTAGTGATCCATTAAACAATGTTACTCAAGGAAGATTCACTCAGTACCCGCTCTGTGCTAGGCCATGCCTCCCAGGCACTGGGGAGCAAAAGTGAGAGAGATCCAGGACTTACCCTCAAGAAGCTTATAGTCCAGTGGGAGAGACCATCACAAGCAAAAAATTAAAATCCATGTATTCAGGGCTCCAGGAGAGCTTTGCTGTGAGTGCACTAGCTGTCTGGGAGCATCTGGGATAGCGTCTGCAAGGAAGGAATGCTTGGGATGCGTTTTCAGGAATACACCGGATTTTATGAAGCCGCAAAAGGCAGGAATAGGAAGGGGTCTGTGCACGCAAAGCTCTGGGAAAGATGTGGAAAAGCTTTGTTTATTTAAGGAACTCCGAGACCTTTGACATGACCAGAGGCGCTACCATGCAGACAGGAAAGTGCAAAGATGAATCTAGAGCAGAGGTTTTAACCAGGGACAATTTGTATCCCAGGGACACGTGTTTGTCACAAAGAGAGGAGCAGCAGTGCCACTGGCATCTAGAGGGTAGAGGCCAGGAATGCTGCTAAACATCCTACCATGCTACCATGTGGGCAGCCCTCACAATCCTTGATCTGGTCCACAGCCTCGATAGTGCTGAGCTAGAGAAACCCTGAGCATGGTAAGGTGTTTAGGACCTTCTGCCCACTGCAGAGAAGCAGCAGCCACACCAGTAAAAACGGAGCTCTGTTAGGGGCACTGTGCTTTCTGAGGGTCACACAGAGAGGGCATCCAGAGGAGGGAAGTCAGGGGAGTGCTGAGCTTTCAGATTCTGCACTCTAGAGTCCCCCATACCTGTGCTGCAGCCAGCCCTCTCAGCTGTATTTCCTGTACACATTTGATAAGCCTGCATCCAGTGTCTACCTCCAAATTGTTGATAAAAATATCGAACACAAAAATTTCAGGGCAAATAATGACTTGGATTCCTAAAATGTCATTCAGTTTATGGGGCATTTTACATCCTTCATCTCATTTACATTCATTTTACAAAACAAATATGAAGCTAAGAGATGTTCTGCAATCTAGGAATTATTTAACTATTACATGTTCAGCTCCCATCTCTTCTCCTAGACTGGTCCCTGAGTGCTCCAAGGACCCATGCATCTAGTCACAAAGGTTGCTGGGAGTATCCTCCATCTTGGCCTTAAAGGGCTCCCTTTCAGCTTCCTGGATTAATATCTGTGTGAGGGGCTAAGAGCAGGTTCCCTGGTTTCCTTCTGCCCCTAGCTGTGATACTCACATACCCTTCTGACTTCAGGGAACCTCTCACTCCATGAGGCTGAATTGGTAAGAGGACCCCTCATGGCTAGCAGGCAGGGACAGCTGCTCGGCTCATGTTCTCTGGCCAAGAAGCATTACTGACCCTGTGATTTGGCCCTTCATCCAAACTGGCAGATGGGTACAGGTGCCTTGCCATGGTACTGCTTCCTCTCTACCAGGCATGCCTGACCATTAAATCACCTAGTGGAGGACAGCACCAGTCAGCTGAGGAGTGGGCTCTTTCCAAGTGGAACCCCAAAACACTGCTAATCTAAAATGTCACTGTTCTTAGGGACAGCACGAATGAACCACGCCAAGTCACACACTGCAGAAACACTCTCAATAATCAACACTAGGTGTTCTAACAGCTTGTTCAAGCCTGTTCATCTGTGGTTTGGAAGTTTAGAACATGGCACTCTTTTACCCCAATAGCTCTCTGGGAACTGATTTCCCATATTCCCAAAGCCATAGCCAGCTCCCAGCTTCATCATTCAGGAAAAAGAGCAAGCGTCTCCCCTCCATCCTCCCCATCTCCCACAGTACATTAAGTACAAGCCCCAGGAGAAGAATCAAGAGCAATGAATCTTCATCAAACAATAAAATCCTATCTGGTGCCAGACCTACCTGCCCATCCAAGCACTGCCTGCCTTGTCCCCCTCCATTAAACTTCTTACCGTTGTGGCCGGTGGCTCCCGGGGCACTGTCCTTTCCGTGGCTCCTCCTCCCACCAGCGTGGCCCAGCGGCTCTCTCCTGCTGCTGTGGTTCCATCCCTGTCCAATAACATTGCTCCTTCTCCAGCAGGGTCCAGCCACTTTTTCACAAGTTACCTCTGTGGAAAGTACCTAGCCCTGACTGCAGGGTGGGATGGATAAAAGGGTAAGAAGGGGACAGGAGCAGATGGCAAGACAGGGCAGGCAAGAGATGGTGGTGGCTGAGTCTAGGGTGCTGATTATGGAGTGAAGGGAAAGAGAGGCGTGAAAGCTGAGCCCATGCTGAAAAGAATGTCAAAGGGAGCTCAAGCACCGGGCGGGGTGAGGGCAGAAGAGGGGTCCTTTCCAACTGTGGGACCTTTAAACAGTACAGAGGCTACACTGGTTTGGAACCGTGCCATGCCTCTGATCCTAGGGAGTAAGCATCTCTTTTTTGGGGTGCAAGGCAACAGCACTCATTCCTCCATGAGCCGCGTGCTTTGCATTTTCCAGTGGGATGCTCTCCAGGTTCAACCAGATCCTCTTGTGCTTGTTCATCGCCTGAGCATGATTCCCTCCAGCTCAGCAGAGTGGTAGGGGATCGTGAGCTCACAGCACAGGGGCTTGACCCTGATGGGGGCTGGGCATTGTGGCAGTGAGACAGCCACACCATGTCGAGGGGCCGCTCTGAGTGAGGGGATTTCTAAAAATACATCTGTCCTCCTGCTTATGGGGCTCGTGAGTGCCAGGCAGGCAGGACAGGCATGTACAACCCACTCCCTCCTCTGTCCCCACTGCCTCCCACTACCTTTTCTCACCCAGATGATTCCATGAGCCACCTGCCTGCTCTCCCTCTCCCCATGGACCACCAGGTACTATAGTTACTAAAAACACAGGGTCCTGCTGGGTGACCACACCACAGCCAAAGCCTAGTCTCATTGACTCACTCATTCATTCAATCCTCAGCATGCAGCACATACACATTTAATGTGTCAATGTGGCACGCTTTTTCAAGGCCAGGCTTGTGGCAGGTGCTACGGATTGGGCGAGCGAAGGCAGACACAGAAGGACGCAGTGTATGAATCCATGCATACAATGCTCAGGAATAGGCACATCTACTCTGCAGCAAAGGAAGTCACAATACCGATCACTTCGGGGAGGGGACATGTAGCTATTGACCGAGGAAGGGAAGGGTGGGCTTTCTGGGGCCTGGCAATGCTCTGTATCATGATCTGAGTGATGGTCTCAAGAGTGTAACAAACTGTGAAAATGCACTGAGCTGCACAGTTGAGATCTGTGCCTTTTAGTGTTATCGGTTAGACCTCAACAATTTTTTTAATGTATATAAAATATAATTCTGGTTTTACTTTTTGGAGCTATACACATATCCATGACTCAAGACTCGAGGAGAAAACTATCAATACCTTAACCGTCTTTGTCTCTGATTGGTAAGATTATGGTAAACTTTTAATTTCCTTCTTTATACTTTTCTGGACCTCCCAAATACTCTACACTGAAGAGACCTTGTTTAAGTAATGATTAAATGTATTAAACGTTATTTTAAAAGTTAGAACCCTCGAGGTGGGACAATCAGCAAGCACGAGGTAGGTGGCTGTCTTCCCAGAGAGGCCAAGCTGGCTCACAAGCTTTTGTCCTCTTGAGCAGCAAGGACACCGGCTTAGGAGTCTTGCTCCAGGTCTGAGATTTCAGTGCAGCTAAATAAAGCTCTTGGCCCGCTGGAGTTGGTGAGGTGGGGCTGCTGGTGGAAGCCTCGGGGTTTTCCTCTCATGCCTGAGGGGAAGGAGGCTCCAGGGCTTTCAGAGGCTTGCCAGGGCCATTCTCACCCTGGCAGCCTTTTAGACCAGCCTGACTCAGAGTCCTGTGCAGTTCTAACATCTTAGGATTGGGACTGTGAGTCCCAGCCTGCCTGGAGTCTCTCTCATGGAGGGGGGATAATTTCAGGATCCTCCACCATATCCCTTCAACAGGAAGCACATGGCAGTGTATGCAGTTTGGGGGCAGAGAGAGGTAGAGTGAGCTAATGGTGCAAGTAAAGAAAAATAGATCAAACCCTGGAAACTCTAAGGAAGGAAGACAATGGGACATGGAGGAATCACTTGGGGGCCTTGGTTTTCCACTGGGAAATGAGGCTGTTGTGAGATTACCCTGTGAATAAGCATGTAGAAAATGCTGGAATGGGAGGCTGGCTTTGTGTTCTGGTTTTGGTGACGCTTTAGGACATGGAGACTGGCTACTTGGCTGGCTCCCGGGCCTCCTGCTCCAATTCCAGTGCCCCACTTGCTCGGCTGCCACATCCCAGACATAGCAGGGACAGGACAGATTTCCTCGTATGTGCATCTGAAGCCTGATTTCTGTCTTGGCAAAGCTACGGTGGTCATGTGATGAGGATCAGCTTGTGATTCACGAATGTATTTTGTATTTCTAACTTGGATCCTAAAAACACTTCCCTCTTCCCTCCCACCTCCCTCTCCTCTGCCCACAACATGAAGGCTCCCACAGAGATGTCATGTGAAGGCTTCTCAGGCTGAGCCAAGGGAAGAGCCAGTGGCCAGCTCTGCCCTGTGACACACACAGCCTCCAGCAGTCACATGGTCTCCAGCTGCCACCACCTGCCCTCTGTCCCCGGCCTGCTACCCTCTCCCTGGCAGGCTTCCTGAGCTGATGCTTCCCTCCAGGCTGCAGCATAGCAAACAGTGGAACTGACGAACAGAGGGTACAGGGCCAACAGGCTTGGACGGTTCTGTTCCCAGCTGACCTCGGGGTGGGAACCCAACCGGGAGGCTCCTGGACACTACGTGGTGTGCCCTGCAGGGAGGTGTCTTGCTGGCCCGATCCAGAGGTAGACCGGGCTATTGGCAGCTGGTTCCCCACAGCCAGCCCCAGCTCCACGAGCAGGGAGCCTGAGCCACAGGTGCTGAAAACAAGGCAGTGCAGGGAGCCAATGGCAGCATTGAGTGTACCTTATGGAAAGACTGGAAGCAGGACATTACCAGGCCTTCCAGAGAGGGAAGAGGACAAACACAGGAGGAGTCATCTGTGTACATATTCACAAAAAAGAAAAAATTGAAAGTTCTCAATCAAGAGCTGTTTTGCCACCCAGAGGACACTTGGTAACGTTTGAAGACATCGTTGTATAAGACATTGTTGGTTGCTGGCATCTAGTGAATAAAGGCTAAGGATGCCGTTGCTGAACAGCCTGTGATGCTCAGGACAGCCCCCACCCCCAACAAAGAATAACTCAGCCTCAAATGATAGAGCTGCTGTTGAGAAACCCCTACCTATAGAGAAAGCAGCCTTGCTAGGGAAGATGTGAGCAGGGCCCCATAAATAAACCCACCAGAGTGAGCTGCAGCTGTTAGTTCCAGGCTTAGAACCCTTCCATGTCTGTTCAGTGCCCTCAAATTTGAGCTTACACCCTCGGGCACAGGCACCAAGACTTCCTGCCATGATCTAGCCCTGGCTTACCCTTCAGCCTCATCTCCCACTCAGTTTTGGTCATACCAGACCTTCAACATCCCAAATACTCCAAGGTCCTTGCCCTTGAGGAATAAGATTCCACACTATGCCTGGAATGCCCTCTCTCCACTTCTGTCCCGCGCTTCCCTGTTCTGAGTCCAGCTGCGACATCTTTGAGAAGCCTTCTTTCATTGTTATCCTGCATCTTCCTTGTTCCTGGGATAGCACACAGCCCCTCTTCCATAGAACATCACACAGGACAGATATTGGGATGGCTGACTTACATATCTGTCCCTCCCACCAGACTGTGGGTTCCCTCAACAAGGTGAACTTGAACAACAGAAGCCACCAGTTTCTCCTGATAGTGTGGTAGATGGGCAGATCTAGCCTCAATGGAAGAAGTTACTTGGGGAACTGGAGAAAACACAGTGGGAGATGTGAAGTCAACTGGGCCATTGGAAGAAGGTGGGAAGCAGGGGCAGGAAAGAGTCCTGAGAAACTCACCACATAGGGGCCTGGGAACAACGCCACAGAGGAGCAGTTGGTCTGAGAGACCAAATGGGAGGTGGTCTGCCAATTCCAGAGGAGGATCTGTAAGCTCCCAGTGTACCTCAGGGTGGGCAAATGGCATGCAAAATTGGGAACGCCACCAAAGGTTTGATAGTGATTGTTACAGATGGAGAAAATTAATCATTTACACTTAAAAGCAGCTTTGTGGAGAAGGTAGAATAATAAGAGACATTCCCATTTTATAATTAAAGAAGCTGAGGCTTATGGAGGTAAAGGGATTGTCCCCATATTGCCAAGCACCTCAACCCACCTCCTCTTCTCTTTGGGCTGCATCATTCTGAGTCAACCAGGACAAGATCAGTCAGCTCACTCCTGCACCATTAGTCTGATTTCCATGGGCAATCCCAAAATAAGACAAAAAAGAATAACTCTCCAATGCCATTTCTGTGTGCTCATTTATTCCCAGAATTTGCTTTGTTCTTGTTTTTTACAGCTTTATTAAGATGTAATTGACCTCTAATAAATTGCACATATTAAATGTGTATGGTGTGATTGGAGTTAACATATGTATACCTCCGTGAAACCATCACCATCATCACCACAGTTGAGACTGTAAGCATGACTGCCACTCCTAAAGGGGATTATCCATCACCCTGACTCCTCTTCATTTTCCCAACAGGCAGCCCTGACCTGATTTCTATTGCTGTGGATGAACTGGCACTTTCTAGAACTTATGCAAGCGGGCTCATACAGCATGTATTCATTTTTGTTTGGCTTCTTTCACTCTACATAATTATATTTTGTTTGTCTGTTTTTGTTTTTGCTTTTTAGTGCTCTAGTGAGGCTAGCATAATTATTTTGAGGTTCAAGCATGTTGTTACACGTATTAAAAGTTCATTTCATTGTATTGCTGACTA